ATTCTGCTGTTTATTAGCCAAGTAACGTAATAGAGATGATTGCGATTGACTGGGAGTATTGAATGTAATACTGCTCCCTATTGCTGAGCTTTCCGATTACGGTTCATCGATCAAACGCTTGAACAGCTTCGTGAATTTTCACTCATGGGCATATGGTAGAGCTGAGTAGTCAGTCAGCAATTTTCAACTGTGAGGCGGTTCGAAAAAAAAATTAAAACAAACTAGTCTTGACTCTCGACCGACTATTCCATTCCTCTTTTCCTAAACAAGTTTTCTATGAAAAAGTCCTATCCTGCGACTTTGAAAATGGTTCCTGATTAATCCTGTTCAGATTGATTGCTTTCCAGGAAAAGTGTGGCAAATCCACCCTCATATAATGGAGCGTTTGATAAGAAGAGTAGGTCTCAGCTTTTGAAACTCCGATCAATTTCGTAACACTGTTTTCTGCAGAAATATTTACCATCGTTCAACGCTCTCCTGGTATTGTCCTTTTTTGCAATGTGTGGAAATAACTGGCAAGCGTGTCCTTTGATGAAATATCAACTTTGCACTAGCTGGCGTGGTATGGAAATATGGTTATAGTTGTAATTTCATTTAGCCTCAGATATCTACCCTTAGCGAAATAGCTTATCAAAATACTTGTAAACGGTTACATCTATTCGAATATTGATGTCGATGTTGATTAGTGGTATGGCGACGAATGGAACGGCCGAGATATACAGTACATGGCCTGCCATTCTAGGAATCGAGTTCTTTCGAATGAAGCTTGCTCATTTACTTGACGCCTCATAAACTGTACACTGCCAAAGTGTTGAAAAAGTATATATTTCGATAAGGGTTTCCTGAGGTATCGTGAGCTGATGATCTCTTCGTGGCAACATCATTTTTGAAAACTCAAAATTGAACCTTTTTGTTAGGAAACCTTTAGGAAGAAGGGAATCTAATGGGTGAAAGTCTAAACCAATATGGACGTCCTGGGGAATCTTCATTACTCCTCCCACCAGTTCGAACAAAGCAGACTTAGAGGGCAAGCATGTGCATCATCGCCCTTTCACTTTCATTCCAAGGTCAAATCGAAATGCTTCTTTTTTTTAATGGTCTTATAAGGCCCGCGTCACGCTTGCATTTTCTCAATGTCATTGCACTGTGATGATGATTTTTTTTATTACGCCGTAGCAAGTTCTTGGAAAGCGGCTAGTTTTTCACGTTCTCTCATCCTAGGGGCTAATGTTCTCGTCAAGAACGGTGTGCTCGGTAGAAAACACCTCAATTCATGTTGGTTTCGTTGTTCTCATTAGGTTCCAGACAATGTTTTTACTACTCATATAGACACGAGTTCCTAGAATGTCTTCTGGTTCCAAGGGGTTCTTGACTATTTGCCAGTTCGAAAAGACACCGGGAAACTGCAAGATTTAAGTTTCAGTGAATGCGACACAATAAACACGTTTTTTGCATTCGACTCCATGCGTGGTATTGCTTTTTCGGGGTATTCAGTATGGAAAAGCGTAGATTTTTTTCCTGGAAGCATGTGTTTCGAATGAAATAAAGAGAAGGACATGGTCATCTATCATATTTCCATCCTAAGAGGGTCTCGTTATCGATTCCTCGTTCTTCAGAGACTACTGTTTATTCCTTTAAATAATGGCATATAGCTCACTTGCATTTTTATGTGATGATCACGCTTCATTTCTCAATCGTACACGTTTTTCGAAAGAGAGATATTGCTTAGAAAGAACAAAAATCAAGATATGTAGTAACTTGATCCTGTGCGTTCAGTGTATACATTAAAGGAAGGCTGCTTTCATTACCATCTCTCTCCTTCCAGGCAACTTGCTCTCATTGATAACGCCGATTTTCAGGAGCTCCCCGAATTAATCTTTCTAGATCTGTCATTCCCAGACATTTGGGTGATCTTCACAGCCTTGAGAAGAATCCATCCTTCTGCTCTCCAGCCATCGAAGGACAGCCTGGAAAGTGTGACAATTATGATTAGTCAGCTAGAGAGCTTCCCGTTCGAACTTTTGCTGCATTTCTCAAGGCTTACGTTACTTTCGCTCCGGAATAGTTCTTTGACCTTTGTCCCCGCCCTCCAGAATGAGAGCCTTGAGATACTCAACATGGGTGGAGGAATACGGATGGGCGACTCCAAACTTACGGGAACTTAATCTCGGTGAGCGAACATCTTCTGGTACAGTGAGATGGATCTTTTCATATCCGATTTACCGGAAACTTGTCTCCCTGTGTAATAATGCTTAATTCATTCACTTATAGATTTGGGACCCAACATTCTTAGTGGGCTGTTGGAATTCCGCAGCAGAAACTTGAGGGGAGTATTTCTATTCGGAAACACCATATCAGGAATAGAAGTCGGAGGCATCACAGGTACAGGTCTAATTCGCAAATCCATCTTGAATCTCCATGGGATTGTTGATTTGTCTTCCAAATGGCCATGGCAGTTTTGGTTTCTTCCTGGAATACACTTTCAGAAGTACTGGAATGCTTCCACAAGATTGAGATGTTCAATATTTTGATGTAAAGTAGCTATGATGAAAGAAACGCTTAGTTGCCATTTCAACATCAAAATATGAGGTTGTATCCTCTTTAACACTAGGTAAATTTTGGGAATATTACCCAAACTTTGGTTCTAAGGACTTGTTAAGGTAAAATTTCACTTAGCCAATAAATGACGAAACTATTCAAACGTAGTCATTTTCTTACAGTTGGAATTTCTCCATAACCGCTCGATGGATTGTAGCGAAACTTCAGACACTTATAGAAGAAGAGTTTGGCTACAAGGGATATGCCGCACAGAATAATTCAATTATCCTATATCGATATAATTGATCCCAAACCGGATGTTGCCGAACATGCGGACCGTGTACTTGTGCAGGAAGGTTCAGATTTCTAAATTATCCAGTACATGGCTATAATTAGCGTCAGTCAGTCACAGTCGTCAATATTAAATATGACTGTCACACTTCCATTCCCTGGGTGGTTCGCTTAAACGTCGGAATTCGGATTTATGGATCTTAGACATATTTTTGAAGAGGAAGGGGAAATTCCCACGAAGGCGAAATGGGATTTCCGAAAATATGCATTAAATATGTTCCGAGCGTGAGGGAAAATCAGATTTACATCCTCTTAGTAGAAACTTTTTATGTAGAAGAATGGGAAATTTCCGAGTAATTGTTTACAGTGTACAGGCCGGTGCAGTTTTTGCGAGATAGAGTAAAGATGTCTGTGATGCGTTCAACTGACATGAACCGACTCGTTGACCTCAAGGTCGATCGATTACCGTGAACAGTGTCGACATCTGGACCTAACGCGCCCACGAATCGCGTTACGGGAATTTGTTTAAGGATACGTTCCTCGTATGACGTGCCTTGCCCATTGTCGTCGCAATTGAAGCACGAGTATACCGACGAGGACCTTGATATAAATATTTGCATAAAAAACTTACATGTGGAAATTTACATATGCAAGCGACCAACAGCAGATGAAACGATAAAACGATAAAAATGCATTGCTGCGCTCGCAACGCGTTTTTGGGCATCCCGAATCGGTCCATCAGTTCGGCTTCTCCAGCAGCCCATTGTGTCCACCTTCCATTCTACCCGGAGTAGAGCAAGACTCGTCCTAGAAGGAGACGGGAATGGCCAAGGTCAGCCTCATGAAATATGCATTAAGTAGGAGAGAAAAGAGTTGGCATTCATTCTGTCTTAGTGAGTCACTGCCTCTGGTACAAGTGGAAATGGGCGCTTCCCTCATCCTCCTACTCTTAATTTTCTCTACCCTCCACTTCTCATTTTCCGACCTCGTGCTCCCTGGTAAGTGCGATTGATGAGGTCTATGTTAATACATATCTGAAATGCGTATCGCAGCTGCCTTCGATGTGCTCCTTCCAGTTCCTTTATTTCGCGATATTTCGGACATAATTCGTCGCTAATGTCATTCAGTACCATAAGGAGGTAACATTTAATGACTGTAATATTTAAATTTTCATTCGGCTAAGCTTCAAGTTGGTGCCTGCGGGATTCAGGTTCGAAATATATAGATGATTCCACAGTGTACCATGAGAGGAGTCGAATGATACCAACTCTATTGTAGGATGACATATTTGGAATTTTCAGATTTTAAAGTACAGTATATACCTCATTCTCTATGGAGGTTACTGTACTGAAAATGAGAGCATGCTCTAATTCAATTATATTGTCATCTCATTTATTGTACGTTGGTTGGAAATATAGGATATCAATCTGAAATGAGAGACTTGAATGAAAGTAATGAAACTCGTAAATCAAATTATCAGATGCTCATTTCGCCTTTCCAGAAAGTCGTCATTCAATAGAAATTTTAATGCTCGATAGTAAGATATAGGGGAATCCAGCCCTGATGAAGATCATAACTAATGACAAGTGACTGTTTCGTGAAGTGACATCCTCTGAACATCCAAAGGAAAGGCCAGCGTTCGGATTTTCATTTATCTATGGACAACTGGACTGTCCGCGGGCAACGTTTTGATCCTCCAGGGCTTCCTGGGTACTTCTCCAAGGGCAAAACATTAAACAGGAAGTAGTTGCTGTGTATGATGTATCACTGACTTACAACTGAACCTTTCCCACGAGGTGCCAGAAAGAGTTCGAACTTAGATGATTTTAAATCGGTACATTGTAATGCCTTCTCCAAATTTATTCCAGGTTTTCAGGTTCCAGCTTCTTCCATGAAGCCTCCTGCTTCTCTACATTGCAGTGAAAAATGCGTCAAGGAGACCGAGATCGGTTCGTGTGTGCCTGGAACTATCAACAATGGAACAATGTGCAGCGAAAAAGGGGAAACTTGCTGCAGGACAAAGACTTCGTCTAAAGTCTCACCAAGATGCGAAATATACAATGGTCGTTGTATGGCGCCATACCTGTCATCTCTATGCCGCGCTGGCGGTCGAAGGGATTTCACAGACCAATTCCAATGCTCGCGGAATACGCGTTGTTGTGTCTTGAAGACAGAAATCGAAAAGAGTCATCATGAAGTGGAAGTGAATGACGGTATGTATAAATTACCGGTAAGATTTCAGAGCCCACATGTGTTGCTCCTCCATAAGGCAGAGCAAAACATGTGTGGTTCGAAAGTGAAATATGCTGAATTGGGGAGTCACTCGTTCTGGCTCGACATCAGTCATATTTCTCCTCACGTAGTTAAGGTTCTTGTGTGTTTTCGCTTTTCAGGAGTAATTTATTGAATTTTCTATTAATGTAGTCCTGGTTCCATTTCATATCAGGCAGGTCCATAGAATACCAGTCAGGTCATAATCTTCGAATTTATAATTTAAAAATTGTGCAAGGTCCTCCCATCCAAATGATGGAATTTTATTATCTTATTTATCTCATAATTTCTGCAATTGTTTCGGAGAAACGAACGCATAAGTGGAAGGATCTAAAATGATTATAAATATATTTGGAAAGACAACCCACCCAAAAGCTGTGCCCTGAGGGGATACACGACAAAATTTGACTTTTTCCTGAAAGCAACATCTTGACTGTTATGTGTGAGTCATGCTTCACTTCTCCGTTTCTGCTAGATTCGTCAGGACAGAAAAAAATTAATTGAAAACGTCACGCACGGAAAAAAGTGTCCTCAGGGCAAGCATATGATGCTTGTCATTTTTCATCAACTCAGTGTTGCAGTAGTTATATTCATGCGAAGTTTCAGTTTTTCATGTCTCTCCGATTGATTCCAGCATAAATAATTAAGATAAAGGCAACAGCTTGTGGACATGTTACAAACATTTTCCTCTTAAAATTGCACTAGCGGCCGCAGGCCGCTACGCTAGCCGTCTAATAGGTGGAAATTTGAACCGTCCGTTATGAGCATAACGTCTCCTTGACAATCCTCTGTTCACCTCATTTCCCATTCAGAATTGAACCGCTTCATTACATGTATACACTCATAGCTTGCAGTACACAGGGAGACTCTGTTCACCATCACCAAGGTTATTCCAACTGATAGCCACAATCCTTCATTGTGAACGGTTTAACACGTTTTCATGAGACTGAAGACGACTTTGCTGATTTCGTGCCCCTACCACATTCAATATTATTGCATCACCGATTAGCTATTCATTGAATAGCTAATCAATTCATGCTTGAAGCATTTTCAGGAATTAGTCGTTAGCATTGTTCCGCACGTGCACTAACTTCCTCTGTGCCGTCGGACAAGTTCTTGGAAATGGTCCCTACTGTTTCAGAACCATTGGTTCTGGTACCATACGCTAACGCTAATAGCCCATGAGCTAATCGGTGATGCAAGAGTATTGAATGTGCTAGGAATACGAAATCAGCAAAGTCGTCTTGAGTCTCATAAAAACGTGCTAAACCGAGACCTCCACAATGGCGATTGTAGCAGTGAGCTCGAATATCATCATGATGGTGCTTAAGAACAGTCTCCCTGTGTACTGTAAGCTATAAGTGCATGCATGTAATGAAGCGGTTCAGTTCTGAATGGGTAATGCGATCAACAGAGGAATGTCAAGGGGACGTTAAGTTCATAATAGATTATTCAAATTTCCACCTATTAGATGGCCAGCGTAGCGGCCGCAGGTCGCTAGTTAGATTATATTACAATAGTTTGGGTAACCGAGAAACAGCTTGACAGGTTTCAATGGGAGGCCACTTATCATAGCTTTATGCCCATATACATTTAAAAATGTTTTTCCAACAATAGCTGTTTGAATGAATGTGTTGCTTTTCACATTGGTTCCTATTTGTAGACAGTCTGCTTTAATACGTGAACATCCACGGACCTATTTTGTGGACAACAGTTTTTGTCAACAATTATGTACGTGCATTGCCGACTAGAAAAATACGACCTGAAGATATTTCCAGAAATGTTATTCATCTTCACTGATATCCTATTAAGAAAAATCATTGGAAAAATAAAGGAATTCAGGGGTGCTAAGTCTAAAACTATGCGAAAATGTCCAAATGCGCTCATGCTGCTGGGTATGGGTAATTTAGATGATAGCTGACAGGGATGTGCAAAATATGGAGCATTTGAGGAAATAGCAGTTAGCTTTAATTTAGTGATATAGCAAAAAATGTCTGGCAAGAACTGTCCACAAATATGTGCCTGTCCACAAACTGGGGCATTTACCGTATTTGAAAAAAATGTTCACCCAAAATCCATGTCTCCTGGGCATATACTTCTGAATTTTGATTTTTTCTGGAATCAGCATCCTAATGAAACCCATATACCGCGTTTCATCCTTCTATAATATCTAGAACATAGTTAGAAATAAAGCCAATGTGTCAATCGCTCTGTGGTTTATATAATAGGGTGCCCACCCAAAAAGAAAGCCTTAAAGGGATGCATCAGGAAATTATACAGGAAATAGTAACTGTGTATTATGTATCAATGGGTCACAACGGAATCATTTCCGCGAGATGCCAAAAGAGTTTGAACTTTGTTGCTTTTAAATCGTTGCATTGTAACGCCTCTTCCAAATTGATTCCAGGTTTTCGGGTTCCAGCTTCTTCCATGAAGCTTCCTGCTTCTGTACATTGCAGCGAAAAATGCGTTAAGGAAACTGAGATCGATTCATGTGTGCCTGGAACTATCAATGATGGAACAAAGTGCAGCGAAGAGAGGAAAACTTGCTGCAGGACGAAGGCATCGTCCATTGTTGCGCCAAGATGCGAAAAATACAATGGTCGTTGCATGGGGCCTCATTTGTCATCTCGATGCCTCGCTGGCGGTCAAAGGGATTTCACAGACCTATTCCAATGCTCGCAGAGTATGCTTTGTTGTGTCTCGAAAGAGGAAATCGAGAGGAGGCAGCATGAAGTGGAATCGCATGACGGTATGTATTCATCTCCGGTACGATTTCAAAACCCATATGTGCTGACGGCGGATGTCAACCATATTTTTCCTCATGCAGTGGATGAGGTTCTTGAGTGTCTTCACATTTCAGGAGTAATTTAAAGGATTTTCTATTAATGCAGTGGTGGTTCCATTTCAAAACATACAGGTCCATAGTATTCCTGTCAATTCATAATTTTCGATTCATCATTAAAAAATATATGCAAGGTCCTCCCATCCAAGTAATGAAATATGGTAGCTTACTTATCTCTATATCTAAAATAGTCACACGTGCATCAAAAGCAATATTTTAAACATACATATCTCTTGTATCAAGGGAAAGAAAAATGAATAATTTCTGATTTGAGAATTTCACGTAGGACCTATTACCTTTTAAATTTGTCAAAATTTTCTGATTTTGTCTAGCGTCATTCCTCGGTTAGTTGGCGTGGAAAATTATGAAAATATTGTAAAATCCCAGAACATATATACCAGTATTGAAAGTAGTCATGTCTGAAATGTTGCAATGGAGTAGACTAAGACGTATTTCACAGTAATCAAACAATTGTGACATTGCCATTCATTTACAATGTCACAATGATCATTGAAGAAAAGTAATGAAGCGGAATCATGTTGTCATTCCGCTTCATTCCTTTTCACTGTTCCATTAAATAATGGGAAACTCTCAAACTTATTTTTTTAAACGTATATTGTGATATATTTCCTAGGATTAGCTCATCCGCAATCAAGCCTGACAAACGAAACGTGCTGGCCTGAGAAGAGTACTCATACAACCCGTCCAAAATATTGCTGGGATGCAGTCATTACAGATTCTGGTGGGAGAATCATATGCAGCGGTGCACTTATCGAATGGCAACTCGTCTCTACTACTGCCTCCTGCTTTTCCGACATGTATGAATCATTTTCTGTAGTACTCCTGTTGATTATATTAACAATGAACTATCTGATTGGAAAGAAAGTCCTCGGAATTTCATGAACAATTATTACAACCCAGTTAAAAAAAAAAAAAAATCATCTCAATCATGAATGTAAATCACATTGGCC